GAAGTTGTATTCCCAGAGAAGCTGAATACTAGCAATGCAAATTAATAGCAGTAAAGCAAATGAGAAAATTCCTCTCATGTAACGACAAGCTGTATAAAATCATCTTTGTGATACTGAGCTTTAATGGCCAGCTATATGGAAAAACAGAGAGAGAACTCTGAAATACAAAGCATCACATGCCAATGAGGTCTTGAAAGCTGGAAATATTTTGTCATCTTTTTCACTGAGCCCTTACGCAATACTAAAACACAGAAGGAATCCATGGTTTGCTTAATTCCTGCTGAAAAAGATTGAGATATCCTGTAGTATCCCCATCCATGAAAAAAAAAAAAGTGTATTACAGTATATTTGGAAATGGTAATACAGGCTATGAGGGACAAAAAAAAAAAAAAAAAGAGAGCAAAGGAAAAAAAACAGTAAATAGGTCACTACTGACTATCTGTAGGATCAGCTTGCTTGGAAATGAAAATTTCCATGACTTTTCTACTTTTATATTAACCCAAAGAACAGGCTATAGATAAATGCTGAATACAATAGCAAATAACTGCATAAGATTTAGAAATATATTATCAACAGCTCTTAAATAAAAGTAGCTAATGCAAAACTACTCTGAAGACAGGGACATTTATTTTAATATTGACTGAAAAAATGCCAATATATTATATATTATAAATTAATTATTAAGACACATATGAAATAAATGAATCAATATATCTCTGTAACTCAATGTAAATTCTCAATTCTGGCTCCTGCCATGTAATGAACAAAGATTTTTCGTTGCTGCCAATTGCTACGACATGACGTGTTAAAGTGCAGGCCTTGGATAAGCACAAGCTAATGCACATTTACTTTAGGCTAAAAATCACCTGTATCCTGGCAGTGCTTGCAGTAGTGGATGTCTATGCTTGATGTCAACAGACTCTGGGAAAATCTGGATAGATATTCGTAGGTGCAATCTGAAAGGAAAAGAATCAATTTCCTATCTTATATATTAATTTTTGTCTTAACTGGTCTCAGATATTCAGCATACAAAATAATATATAATGGCATTTGAGGGTGGCTTAGAGCACAAGGGATTGAGAAGAAGGACTCGCCTAGAGAGGCCCTCTAACATCAAAAACAGAGTAGAAAAATAACAACGTCACCCCTTGGCAGGGGGTTACCTTGACCCCGTGAGCATAGCTGTGTAAAAGCAAAATGATTTTGCCCCTTTGGTGTTTTCATCTTGGTTTAGTTCATGTGCATGAGTTCTCCCTCATAAAAACATGACAGCACTCATCTCGTTTCAGTGAGGAAAGGCTCTATAGAATAAACACAAAGAACAGGTCAGCCTTTAATGGCCATCCAAAAAATGAAGTGACGGAAACCAGTGCACCAACTAACAATTTCAAGTATCATCAGTAGCTTCCAAAGTGAAGCAACATGAGAATAAATACATTGTATTAGTGGTTAACCAGTACCAGGAGGAACAGGTCAGTGACTTTATTATTTTCAAAAGAATGCATATACTCAAATTACTTTTTCCTCAAAATTGGAGGAAAAAAAAAACGTTTTTGGCGCATTGTATCTAACAGAAATACAAGATATGCAGCATTTCATGGCAGTGCAGAAGTCTCCCAATTGACTTGAAAAATAAATGCAACTACAGTACTCTTTCAGGATGTTATCAGCAGCTGCCACCTGCTTAATCTCTCTAGCTTTCTTTCCTCTTGCAATAGAAAGAGCAAACTCTGCCCTGAAAGTATGCACACAACTTCTATCAAAGACTGCCTAAGCCTCCTCCCATTGCAGATCTCAATGTTTTTTTCAGACATTCGCCCACACGTAACCTCTGAGGCAAATACTGTGACTCTCTATTTTACAGAGGAGAATAGTGAAGTGCAGACACGGTTTTGATTTTATTCCAATAAAATCAATATCATCTGTGTAGCTTTAGTGCTAAAATTACATGACTATGGTCACGCTGGAAGCCTGTTAGAGGGAGAGAGCTCTGCTGACTCTGTGCCCTGGACTCAACTACAGACCTAGTAACTATCAGAATATAACATTTCAGCCAAGGAGACTATTAAGACGTTAAACTACAATCGCTGACTTTTATAGCAACCAGAGGACTGAATGTCTAACTACAGAAAATCATAGCAGGAAAATTGCTTCTTTATTTCAAGTACTTAGGTTGAGATTTTACTGTGCCAACATTCTTCCTACTAACTCAATAGCTACTAAAATCATAAAATGACTGTAAATGATCCCCTTTGATAGCTTTCTTACTGAATACTTGTTTGAAGAATTAAGAGCAACTTACATATTTTAAGAAAGGAAAATCATTTTAACTTAATTACTTTTTATTATTATCAGCCCAACCTAATGCTGAGTGAAGTAAACAGGAAATTTCTTGCAAGTTCAAAGAGTGTGCTGGATCAAATGATATCCATCTACTGTAAATGTAAGAAATACTTAACTTTCCTTAATTCTTTAAATTTTTTACCCTCTAAAATATAGCTCAGAATGCCAGGTTTCACTAAGCAACAAAATTATGCAAAAATGGAGCAAACACACTCCTTGGGGCTCTGAAGCTCTTTGGGAACACAGGCACACGAGCCACAATACAAACATTTCATAGCAGCGATTCAGCTGGCAGGTAAAGGGTCCCATCCAACCTATGTCCTTCCCAGAAGTTTGACCAGCTTGACTAGATTGGGCACGTGGATCAATTAAATTAACCAGAGTGGCCTAAATTCCACTGGCTTTCCACACTTTTGGGGCTCCCAAATCATTTAAGCATTTTTGAAAATGCCCCATATTGGTCTAAAGCACAACTACACTGTGAGACAAAAAGGAGATAAAAAATCATGTCCGGAGGTACTTTCATTCACTTGATGAGAACATAATTGAGATTTTGCAACACAAACAAGTTTGATTATGGTTACAAGGAGTAGAAATATCTTTCAGCTCATAACAGAGCTGTAAAATAAGTTTGAAAAGAGGACAACAAAACAAACCCAGCAGCCCGATGTACTAAAATTATCATAATGTGGATACAGAATTACACCAAGATACTTAAGAACACAATGCAAGCCTTACTCAGTGCATTAAAGTCACTGCATCTTACAAAATACTATTATTTAGTGTGTTTAGATTATAATTTCAGCAAAATGACAAAAAAAAAAAAGTTAAATTATCAGATAATGAAACCTTGTGTCTGTATTTAAATATCAAGCACGAGTCTCTTGAAAATCAGACTTTTCTCCTCCTGGAGGTTTTCCAGGCTCCTTTGCTCTTCACTCCTACGTCTGTGGAAGCACCACTCTGCCTAGGCAGGTTCATTCAGGAATGATGAATTGAAAACCATCACGTCTCGCTAACGAGACCTTAATGAGACACGCTCATCCTCAACATGATCTACTATAAATAAACACGGCCCACCTACAATTAGTTCTCTGCCTTACAAGTTGTGACAATCAAATAATGGGTGACATGTACACTAGCATAAGACATGCAAATGTAGGAGAGCTACCGAGGATCTCCCATGTTTCCAGTGGACTATATGATGATTTTCTCATCAATATTTAGCTCATGGCATAAGTTTTCTGAAGGTAGATTTCCAAAATTTTCTACTGTAAAAAGTTACATTGCCTTTGTCAGAACACTGTGAGCAGGGACTGCTCATCTTGAGTTTAGTTTTTGGGAGGTGTCAGCTCCTACCATTTGCTTTAGATACATCACTGTCTACTTCAATCTGTGAATAAGGACTGGAAATCCAGCTGCTAAACCAGCTAGTCCATCTGCTACCATGTGTTAATAAGTGTATAATTACACACACTAAAGGCCTCATGATTCACCAAGATTGTCTTTTGTAGAGACGTCCACTGCAGTAGACAGCATGCACATGTAACCGTGGCCACAGATCCTAATACTGGTAGTACAGACAAGGCCATTATTTAGTAATTTTTTGATATTTCTTCTGTGTGATGATAACATGAACCCAGGCCGTGGGCAGCAAGGTTTCAATTGAAAAGACTCTAGAAAATTCACTAAGATTTAAAGCTAGGAGAATATAACAAATCACTGTATCAATCCAAGATGCTTTGACAAAATGGGACCTTTTGATACCTCTCAGTGTGATGCTTCACGTCCATAATACACACAATCCCAGGCAGACCATGCCTACCCCCAGTCTGTAAGAATACCCAGAGTAGATGGGAGATCAAAAATAAAATATCTGCTTAGCCTACTATAACCAAAGAAATATTTTTCAAATACTGTGTTTATGAACAAGGTCGTAAGAGCATAAAATGCCCCTGAATTTTACTCTGCTATAGCTAAGGCCATTGCCAGGATGACAATTCTGGATTTTTACAATAGTGTATCACATAACAAGAGGTCTTATTCAGCATCCCCAACCCTTTGCTTATCTAAAGGTAATGACATCAAACTCTTTCCTCTTTTAATCTAGTAATATAAGTCAATGACTTTCCCTGGAGTCAAGGAAACAACTAGATTCCTCTCCTCATATCTCTTGATGTGGAACAGCCACGTAAATTTCTGTAACATGGGAAGTGACAACTTGCTTTTTAAAACCTAATTCATAGTTATAGTCATACAATACTTCAGGCAAGTAAAGACATCTGACTAAAGACCATCTGACTCTACAACAGTGGATTAAAATGATGACGAGCCAGAGCAAATAATATGGCCAAAGGCATCTTGTTGCTAATCAGATTTGCAAAACTCTGCCAAACTCTGATATAACCATATGTGACACGAGATACCAAAACACCCACGGACTTTCCTGTATATTCAAGCACCAAGTAAGTCACAAATGAACAAAATGTCAGAGACATCTGAAAGTTTCACATTCCTCTATAAAAGCAGAGGTTTTCAGTTCTGGAGGGCAGGGGGCCGTTCAGTTCTCTACTTGCCTAATATGTGAACACAAATCCCTATAGCTGATTGAGGGACTCCCAGATGCTACTACCACAATAGGAAATATCAAAAAATACCTTTAAAAATCCTGCCTTGATTGAAGTCCATTGTCAAAAAATATTTTCTGACTTTTCTATTTGGAACAGGATGAAGTTTGGAGATCACAGCTAGGGTCAAATGGAATAAAAAGTAGATTTGTAACAAGTTAGAGCAATAGCAACACGGTCTATCCTATGATTAACCTTAAAGAAAACTGCTAATTTTGCCAATTAATGGCTACTTTTGTCAAAATAGAACTTTCAAACTTATTTAAATATATACTCTGAAATGACGGTAATTAGTACAGGGGAAAAAATAGACACCTAATTCTGAAATGAGAATATTTTTTTAAAAATACCTTTAAAGTATGTGGAAAACGATGGCTTACATTCCTGAACATGCCAAGAAACTTCTGCCACTTCAGTGTGCAAATATATTAAGTCCTAATCACAGTATTTCAACAAAATGTATACATATTATATGCTCTCTTAATCTGTGTTCACATTTTTAATTTCAAAAATATGTGTTGGGCCATATTATCCCTTCCACCTGGGCCTAGCAACACTTTTAAGAGGAAATCTAACTGCAATAGCCCTAACTTGTGCTCAGGTTTTTTCTTCAGCCCTTCCTGTTTCCTTTTAAACCCAGGCCCAATGTTTATGGCCCAATGTGAACTGCTATCACCCATTTAAAGAGGCCCACATAACTATGAGGCTCCCTACAATACGAACACAAGCAAGGGGCATCCTCAATATCTTCCACCAAAGGAGGACAGAAACATGGGAGCACCAGGGCGAGTCAGTAGAAGAGCTGAATTTACACCGCCGATATAAATTATTTGGTATTTGTTTGATAAGCTCCATGTTATTTGGTTGATACACCCGGTGTTATTTCCACACGGGGCAGGGCCCAGCAGCTGGGCCAGGAAGAGCTCCAAGGCCTGTCCTGAAGGATGTTCTAGATAATTCCTCAGAGGTCAGGCGCTGCAAAGCGACTCCGCTCCTTCCTATATAATCACTATGGAAACAGCTCCAGCAGCGACGGGCACAAACGCACCCCGGCAAGGAGGGGAGGCCGCTCATGGTTTAAATCACAGGGCTCCTTCACAAGCACCGAGTGCCATGGGCGGCTCCGTGTCCTTCACTCCGCGGCACCGCCGGGTTTTGGCCCACACGGCGCTCGCCCACGGGCTGCTGGGCCCCAGGCCCACTCCCGCTGCGCCGTTCCCCACGTTTAGCGCCCCGCACGCAGCAGCGTGGGGCGCCCACGCGGGACCCTGGGCCGCGCCGCTCCTGCCCCCCCTCCATCCCTGCTGCCACCATCTTCCCACCCGCTGCCCCCCGCACCGGACTATGGAGGCGGGGGGGGGGGTGGACGGGGAAGGCTGTTAGGGGGCCTATGGGCCACGCTTCGCTCCAACGAGGAGTGACGGGGAAGGGGCCACCCGCCGCCCCGGGGAAGCCGGGTGCCCACACCGGGCCCGGCGGCGCCTGACATGGCGGGGGAGCCGCCGCCCCCGCGCTCCCCCCCCGCCCCTGCGCTGCGGCGGGCTGGGTAGGAAACCCCGTGCGCGGCAAAAGGAGGGGGGGCCGGAGCAGGAGGAAGGAGTGTGTCGCAGTCACCCCGCCAATGCTGCAATATCCTTCCGCGAGGAAAAGTAGTGCCAGGCGCCCACTGGCCTCTGGCCTCCGCGCGGCTCAGGAATGCTCCCTCGAGGATCCCAACACGCGTGTCGAGGGGAAACTCGTGGGGAGGGGACTGAAACGGGAGGATTTCGTGGTTTTTTTGGCCCGCGGCGTGAAGCGTATATCCATGCGCAGCGAAGAGCGAAACGAGTCCGGCGGGGCGGCTATATAAGGCGGTTGCCGCGGAGGCTTTGCCTTTTCAGTTGAGGACAGAGCTGGTGGTCGGAACATGTCAGGCGGCTCCGCGGATTATGGCAGGTATGGCGCGGCGCGCTGCGTCCCGCTGCCCCCTCAGGTGGGCCGGGGAGTAGGGAAAAGGTGGGCGAGATGGGAGAAAAAGCGAGGCGAGGGAAGGGAGATGCCCGCGCGCGGGCGCCGGGGCTCTGAGGGCGGTTAGACCGCACCGCGGCCCCTCCCGCTTCTAGACGTTTCGGCCTCGCGGCTCCCTCTCCCCGCAGTTCAGCCTCTCTTTGCTTCGCTTGGGGAGCCGTCTTTCCGTGGCTGATTTTTTCGGTCAGCTTACCCCCCTACACACACAGACTCGACGAAAAGGGGCTATTTTCATCTACTTGTCACGTTGCGCAACGACTAAAAAGTCCGCCTCGAAAGGCGCTTTTTCCCGAATTCACTGTTCTGAATTACTATTCTTCTTCTCCCTTACCCCTGCGAGGGCGCGACCATTTTCGCCGGGCCGCCGGGCGGGGGGAGGGGCGCGGCTCTCCGGGCGTTCGCCTTGCGCCTTCCCCGCCCCCGCCCGTCATGGCCGCCGCTTTGCGCAATCCCGGGGGTGGAGCTCTCGCGAGATCTCGGGCGGCTCTGACGCGGCGGGGGCGGGGGGAGCCGCAGCGGCGCCGCGCGTGTCCTCTCCTCCCCCCTCCCCCCCCGTTTCCCCCCCTCCTCCGTCTCCCCCACGCTGGCAATGCGACTTAGCGAAATGGCGAGCGCACCCGTTCTGCAAAGCCCCACCTCGAGCCGTGCCATGGTTGGCGGGGGGAAGGGTATTGTGCAGTCGGAAATGCTTGGAGTGCCTCGCTGCGGAACGCAGGCTGTGGAGATCCTGTGTCACGTTGAGAGCTGCGCTGGTGACGATCTGGGCTAGTGGCACCTATGCCTGGTGGAGAGAGAGGACAGCAGCTTTTGTACTGGCAAAATACCAAAGCACCTGCTAGAATGATCTCTCAGTGGTTTCACTGCAGTGCCAACATGTTGTTTTGGCAACCGGAGCAGCAGCTCCCTTCTCCGTGTTGCTCAGTAATGTGTTAACTGCTCCTTCTCTTTTGGTGACAGAGACCATGGCGGCCCAGAGGGAATGGACCCCGATGGTGTCATTGAGGTGAGCAAATGGGGTCTGACTTAGTATAACTAATGCTGGAAATAAATGTGATTGTAATAAATTGGCATTTTATTTGTCTATATTACAGAGCAACTGGAATGAAATTGTTGACAATTTTGATGATATGAATTTAAAGGAATCCCTTCTCAGGGGCATTTATGCTTATGGTTTTGAGAAGCCTTCAGCTATTCAGCAGAGAGCTATTATTCCATGTATCAAAGGTATGAAAGTATAATTTGCTGTTCAAAGCAGCATCACATAATTAGGAAACGGTTGTAAAATGATTACATTAGTTATAATGTTAGTGTATGCTGTTATCTATTTTTGATCCTTGTTGAACAAGTGATATGATGGTACACCATCTTTCGGGGCTGACCTGAAATGGAGAAAGTTCTTAATGCTGATCACTTATTTCAAAGGGAATAAATAAAACTAAATATGAATGACCTGTGTGGGAACAGTAAATGTGTATCCTACTTTTTTTAGGGTATGATGTGATTGCTCAAGCTCAGTCAGGTACTGGCAAGACAGCCACATTTGCTATTTCCATCCTGCAGCAGCTGGAGATTGATCTCAAGGAGACCCAAGCACTAGTATTGGCCCCTACCAGAGAACTGGCTCAACAGGTATTGATAGTGTAGTTAAAAAAAAAAAAAAAGCTGCTTGTGTGTTGCATAGATTTCAGGTTTCACAACTGTGGGACAATTAACAGACTTCTAAGGGGCTGTAACTAATATCCATTCAGAACCCTTCTTTTGTTGAGTAATGGGGAAAATAAACTGGCTTCTGTCCCACGAGTTTTCTGCCTGCTTGAAAAGTTGAGCTGCAATGCGATGCATGTGGAGGGTGTGCTGGGCAGGGCTGCAGGTCCCAGCTGCTGTGCTGCTGTTCATGGGTCTGAAGGAGCATCTTCAGCAAAGGGCAAAATACAAGATACGTATTTTCAAGCACAGTGTTCTGAGTGGAAACAAAATGGACTTTTTGGAAGTTATTTGAACTTGCGTGCAGTTGTGCAACATGAAAAACTGCAGTGCACATGTAGTTAGTTCATTGTTCTTGTAACTTGTGATGTTTTCCTGCCGAATGTCACATTGCATGTTTCCTTCACTCCCCCAAGGCTTGATGTTCCGCTTTACTCAATGGAAGTGCTTGAGCAAGGCTGCTGCAGTTAGGATAGAATGAAAACCCAGCTTTACTGGACTTAAAGATCAAGAGTAGGGAATGTTAAAAGAGAATTTCTCAAAGAGAGCAGGACTGAAAATGAAGTAGAAAATACATAGCTTGCTAGTATATCTTTCTCCTGAGATGCTAATGCTCTAAGCAACGATTCTCCTTAAAGATAAAATTAAATGTGCTAGATTCCAAATCAAGTTCTTGCTTGTGCCAAAAAAAAAAAAAAGTGTGGAGCAGGAACCTCTAATCAGAATTTAGTACTTTTGCTTTGAAGACAAAATGGGACTGTGTTAAAGTCTAGGCAAATAGCAGCACACTTGTTCCATGTGAACTGTTTCTGCAAGTGATTAATACACAAGTTAACTGCAGAAAAGCTTCAGAGTTCATACCTGGAGATCATATTCTTTTAACCTAAGAGAAGACAAAAAAAAAAATAGTGACTCCTCTTGCTATAGACACTAGCAAGGATAGAATGTAACTAAACATACTCCCTTCATTTTTTCAAAAGTAGGTAGTTAGGCAAAATCAGTAGTGGTGTTGCCTTCACTGTAACTGCATTAGGGCTTCACTGTCTTTGCTCTGTCCGTGTTAAAACCGCATAAGCATTGGTGCTAGAGGGCTTAAAATCTTGACCACCAAGAACTACTGCTAATGGAAAGCTTTTATTTTTAGATTCAAAAGGTCATTCTGGCCCTTGGAGATTATATGGGTGCAACGTGCCATGCTTGCATTGGTGGCACAAATGTTCGCAATGAAATGCAGAAACTGCAAGCTGAGGCTCCACACATTGTGGTGGGAACTCCGGGGCGTGTGTTCGACATGCTAAACAGGCGCTACCTGTGTAAGTCCTGAACTGATTTTTTTTTTTTTTTTTTTTTATTTTGGAGTAACAGAGTCACTTAGGATTAAAAAAGACTAATGTATTTTGGATCTTGTAAGAGGATCTCAGTCTTTTGCTACTGTATTTAACAACTAATTCTTGAGGGAGGATTACTATTAGAAAAATGTGCATTTTTGAAATGTCATGGATTTTCTTTTAATAGCGCCTAAATGGATCAAAATGTTTGTTCTGGATGAAGCTGATGAAATGTTGAGCCGTGGATTTAAGGATCAAATTTATGAGATTTTCCAAAAGCTAAGCACAAACATCCAGGTAAGAACATTTGAAGTGGTTCAACTGTTTATGGGGGTGCAGATTTAGATAGTATGGCTGAGAAGCGCCGAATTCTTCATTGTTCTGTGCTGTTGCTTTCTACTTCAACCGTGCAGCAGGTTGAGATTTAGGTAGGTAACCATCTTTACCGATTTTTGTTAATGAGCGTGATGTTTTGGTTGTAGACATGCAGAGCTTTCAAGTTGGGTGTTGTAGGTGGTAGTTGCTAACACTGATGTGCATTCTAGGTTGTGTTGCTCTCGGCTACAATGCCAATGGATGTGTTGGAAGTGACCAAAAAGTTCATGAGAGACCCCATACGCATTTTGGTGAAGAAGGAAGAATTGACTCTGGAGGGTATCAAGCAGTTCTACATTAATGTTGAGAGAGAGGTCTGTATCACTTGCATTTACACTGTTTGGATGAACTTGGAAAACTGAGCTCTTTCCCCTTCTTGTTAAAGCACTGTGCTAAAACTACAGAAATCGAGGCTGCGCTTTGGTTTCAGTAGTAATGCTAGTAGAGTACACGCAAGAAGAAGAAAAACTGCACTGGATTCAACATGACTAGGGTGGACCTCTTTCTTAATGTCCAGTGTCCTGTGTCTTAAGATCTGGTGCAACAGTTAATACGGAAATTTTGATACCTTACTCAGTTTCTTTGGCATACTGATGATAATTGTGTTCATTGGTTGTGGCTTTTAAGTTCTTACTCCTTACTTAGGATTTTAAAAGTATCGAGTTATCAACTGCAGCCCTTTTACTGGTAATTTGTTTGTTTTAGGAGTGGAAGCTGGATACCCTGTGTGATTTATATGAGACACTGACCATTACACAGGCTGTTATTTTCCTGAATACAAGGAGAAAAGTAGACTGGCTGACAGAGAAAATGCATGCCAGGGACTTCACCGTCTCAGCTCTGGTGAGATTTTTTTCATTTAATTCACGGTATGTGAGAAACACTGAAAATCCTAGAAAGTGAAAAGCAGGAAAAGTTATGATATAGCTGTGCGGTGCTGTATTATCGTTCCCCCTGCTTAAAGAAAATTGCTTCCTTCTATCCCTACCTGCCTTGCTCCCACAGCAGGTAGGGACGCTGGGTTTCAAACACACCTGTTTCTCTTTAATAAATGATGATCCAGTCTGGAGTACTGGATATACAGAAACTTTTTTTTAACTCTGCAGCATGGTGACATGGACCAGAAGGAACGGGATGTTATCATGAGAGAATTTAGATCAGGATCAAGCCGTGTCCTGATCACTACTGACTTGCTGGTGAGTATCAGTCTTTCTTAAACTCTTCCATAATGAGCCAAAAGCTTCGTAATTCAGTGAAGGTTCTCATAGCCTGAACTACTCGGAGCTTCTTGGAAGAGTAAGGACTACGCTCCACTATGGACTACACGGTTGTAGTTCGTCACTAACTATGTGGTCAACAGAAACATGGAGTAAATAATTAAACCAGCAACTTTTTGACTTGCATTAAAGACTCTGCCTTGTATTTCAGGCTCGTGGTATTGATGTGCAGCAAGTCTCACTGGTTATAAATTATGACCTGCCAACCAATCGTGAAAACTACATTCACAGGTTAGTTTGCTTCTTTTCTAGTTGATACTTGAAGCTGAATATAGTTTTTTCTAACAGCACAGAACATCCTCTTTTTTGTAGTCTTCTTGAGTAACACATGTTACACATCCATACATAAAGTTAACTGCTAAAAAACTAGCAGATTACTCTTTCTGCATTTTCTAAAAAAAAAAAAAAAAGCACTGACAAGTTGTGATCCTGAAATGGGGGAGGAGCAGAACTTTGTTAGCCAATTAAGCAGTGGGAAAACTTAGCTGTGCAACTACTTCAGTAATGGCTAATGATGCATTGCTGGGATATGGGGTAATTGCCAGCTGCTGAGCTCCTTTTTTTGTTTTTATGTTGTGGAGTACGATGACAAAAAGCATGATTAGCAAAGCATCCTGAAAGCAATGTTGTTAGCTAGATCTCCAGCTCATAGCCAGCCTTCATTTGCTGATGATACTCAGTGCCTAGAGTAATTCTGAGCAAATCTAGGTCTGCAGCAGAATTGCTTTCAGTGCTAGTGGTTTATTGTGTTGATGTTTTGTGTCTTGTTTGCTCTTGGTGGCTCCTTCTACAGTGGGATTCTTTCCTCTGTGGCGTGTGTCTTCTGGTAGCAATTTGCATTTTGTTTCCCTAGGTTTAGTTAACTGCTTTTAGTGACTGTCCTTAAATTAAGTAAACTGTGCTTTGTTACTTGATGTAAAAAAATACAGGAGTCGGTAGCAGCAGTTGATGACACAAGATGGTGCTCAGAAACGGCGTTGACGTAATTTAGGACGTGGATTCGTAAGCGGCACAGTTTGAATAAGCGAGTTGGTATTTATATATTTTTTTGTCATGATTATTCCCTAAGTTTTGTGAGCTGTTGTTGTGTATTTAGCTCTTGCTGCATAGGTGCTTTATCGTGCAGTCTCTACAGGAAGGTAGAACTGATGGTGGGTTGTAACTAAATTGTGATGGTGGTCGTGACTGGCTTGTGCTTACACAAAAAAAGTCGAGCTTGGATTTTTCTGTTCTTAAACTAAGTTTTCCCACTGGAAACAGTATGTTTAATGAAAATTCCTAAGTTGAAATGTGCTGTTTCATTACACTAGATGATAATTGGATGTTTTTCTTTGTATGGAATAGTGGTTTTTTTCCTTTTAAAGATAGAACATCCTTATTTGCCATATGTTTGGGACTGGATACGTGTGGTACAGGGTGTTAAATTTAAGGAGGGGAGGGAGGCTTCATACCACAGTACCAAACATTAAATGAAGGTCTTATTTTGCAGCTGAAACAGTAACCTTTTCTGCTCTGCTACCTCCATGGGATGGACACTGCTCCTGTACTGTTGGTGCTGACTGCTCATTTTTCTTAACCAGCCATGACTTTGCTTAGCAGCTAGTCCTGTAAATACAGCGCAAAGTGGCTACGGGCAGACAAATGAACAGCAGTTAATGAATGGATCTTGCGTTTTTAGGCATTTAAGTGGGTTGCCATAGTTAACATGCGTGTAAATGTGTTTTCTGTTCTGTGCAGAATTGGCAGAGGTGGTCGCTTTGGCAGAAAAGGGGTGGCTATAAATTTTGTCACTGAAGAGGACAAGAGGATTCTGCGAGATATTGAGACTTTCTACAATACTACAGTGGAGGAGATGCCCATGAATGTGGCTGATCTCATTTAATCCCTGAGAGAGAGGAGATGGTTTTGGAATGCAGTGCTCGCTGTTGCTGAATAGGCGATTCACAACGTGCATTGTGCTTCTTTCTTTGGGGATATATTGAATCTTGTCTCAATGCTCATAACGGATCAGAAATACAGATTTTTGATAAGCAAAGCGACTTTCTGTCGTGAGCTCTTGTGGGGAAAGCCATTGGCTTTATCCACTTTAGGGTTAGACTGTTGGGGTTGGGTGGAAAGTCATGGGGTCTGTAAATTTTTTCTTTATTAGAAATTTATTTCCTAGTTCCATAGAAGTGGTTGTATTAGATGTTCTTTATCATTTAATAATTTACTTATGGACTAAAAGATATAAGTGCTGTATAAAATCAGCCAATTATGTTAAACTAGCATACCTTCCTTTATTGTATGTATTTACACTTTAGATTGAATTGGAAAGGCCTTTCAAAATCTCTATAAACTTTTATAAGAGCATTAAAATGCATTTTTGTTTGATATGTATTTATTCAATAAAGTATTTAATTAGTGGTAAGTGTGATCTGGACCCTGTTGCTAAGCCCCAGCAAGCAAGCAATCATACTATTGTCCTAGTTAGGGTTAAACCCAGTAAAATTTGCCATATTGCACATGTCTTAATGAAGTTTGAATGTTCAATAAAATACTTCTATATTCACTTCCAAGTGTGAAAGGCTCTTCTTTGTGGGGTGGGGTCTGGGCAGGCCTGGTACTGAGGGGCTGGCCATGGTGCAGTCACTGTTCCTTGGGGTGGGGTTTTTTAGGGCAGCAGCAGCCAGCCACACTCTCCTTGGAGTGGAAGAGAAGGGGGCATCTTGGCACGAAGAGCTACTCCCCTTACTTACTTTTTTTTCTTCAACACAGGTCCTGGCTTATGTGCTACATAAGCTGAAACGCTGTGGCAGTGCAGTTCCTGAAAAAAGATGCTCTACCCTCAAAAATGATGCCCAGCTCTACCCTGCATGGGCTGTGAGAGGGGTTACAGCAAAGCTTAGTAATTTTAAAAGGAACGCAAGAAGGCTCTCACTGTTTTAGATGAAACTTCTTTTTTGACCAATGCCCTCTGTACCTCAACTTTAGCTAAACCTTAAAGCTTCATATTGCTGACAAGGGATTTTTCTTTGTCTGGTCCTGTAAGGTTACAGGGTTCAGAATGAGAGGCAGTGTGTAAGACCCAGCTGAAGCCCTGAGCTCGATAGAGGATTTTGCTCAAGTTCTTTGAGGAGCAAGTTCCACTTACAAACTGAGCTCAAATAATATCAGATGAGACTGTCCTCACTGTAGGAGGTGACAAAGCATCCTCTAACTACCTTTACTTAGTGCACTAACAGCTAGAATGCAGGACTGTTACCAGGCCCTTCCCATAGCCTGTGATCTCTTTAAAAGGATACAAAGATGACAACCATTTTATTCCAACATGAGTTTTTTAACTGCCGAGCAGTCTCTTTATTGCAAAACCAGTATAAAAATGTGCAGCCCCCAGCAGGCAGTGCTGCTGGGCCCCACGCAGCCGCCACGCTAGCTGCTCTGGCTGAGCTGCTGCATCACCAGGGCACAGAGGCCCATGAGCTGCAGGTACTCGTCAGCACCATCAGCCAGGCACTTGTCCACGTCCTGCACGGGAGAAAGAAGTCACAGCCCGTGACCACGCAAGGACAAACTTGTTCATTGCCACCTACCTCCAGCAGCCATCGCGTCCCATGCTGCTCACAGCAGCCCAGTCACCACAGCCTCTCCGGGCTCCCGAGGAGGCTGAGGGGACGGTCCCCATAAGCAGCAGGAGGCACCGCTCACGCCACAGCCACCGGCCACGAGCATCGCTCGGCTGGCAAAGAGCCCAGAAGCCAGTCCATGGTTTGTTCTTGGGATGCATTCCTTATGCCCAATGAGCACCACAAATCCCAATGTATACCTTGCTCTTACTTTATGTAGCACCCACACACATCTCTGCTTAATTTCCTCTCCAAAGTTTTATAAAAATTAAATCACATCAGTCTCCTGCTGGGGCAACATTAGGACAAGCTGATCTGGCCAATAATACCTTTGGCTTAACCAGGATTTCAATTCCTTCTCAAATTTCTCAGCCCAGAAGTTTCTCTCCCCAGAAACAAAAGAATAAAAAACACCTTCTACCATAAAATGCAGAATTCAGAGGACCGCGAGTCTTACCGCAAGTTTCTCAACTATAGCGGATTTCTGCTTGTCCGAGAAATCTTCGCTCTCGACAACAATATCATGAAACTGGTTTACAAGCTGAGCAACAGCATAACCTTCATTTATCAGATTCTGTGTCAGGCATAGAGGAAAAGGGAAATTAGGCTGGAAGAGCTAAGTGGCAGCAGAGACAAAACCTGAAATACTTTGATGGAAGTTTTATAGGAAGATTAGAAGATCATGACTTCTCCCTAAGCAAGATACACTGCCATACTTTATACAAAAGTTCTGCTAACTGTACATCTAACTTAAGGCACCTGGTCTAAAACCTGGAGAGCCATTCCCAACTGCTACAGCAGATTGCACCAGGTTCCGATAAGGGACTACGCCCTAACTCAGATATAGAAAGACACCCGGACCGCAGAGCTAAGAACTCTACCTTTGCCATTCTTTCCAGTTTTTCAAATGAAAAACTCTTACAAGCCAGGATCACTCCATCAATTGTTTCTTTAGGGATAACCTGCAAAGAGAAGTTTCATTTTCAACTTTGTAAGACTAAAATTATCAAGTCATGATTAAAGCTGATGTTTACAGTAAAAGATTCAAACTTTTTTTTATTATTTTTTTTTAAATAAAGGTGGGTATTTTAGCATCCCCAATACCCAACCCCTCTCAAGTATGTAAGACAAAGCGACTCAATTTAACATTGAGAGCCAAGGTTGGATATTTTTTCTATGTTGGCAATTTTGAAAGAAAAACTTCTTAACAATAACGAATAGCCAAAGCTTTCTGCACTGTTCTGCGGCTAAACAACACATCAGCTCAGCTGCTCTCCAGTTGAGCATCAGAAGCACCTACAGAAACAAGCTCAGTGCAACAAAGCTGATAATAAATGGGAAGACAAAGATAGCAGGTAACTATTTAGCTCCAAGCAGAGAGGTACAACCCACATTTTCCCCTCTGCTCACTGCCATTCCTGCCAGGTGAGCGTCTGGACAGTTTTTTCTCTGGTTATAGAGCTTTTTGTTAGTCTTTTGTTAGTCTTTTGTAGACTTTTGTTAGTCTTTTGTTACTCCAGGGTCACAATAGGAACACACAGCCAACACCTGGAATTTTTCAGTGGAGATGTGAAGTTGGGTTCCTTTGTTTTAATGAACGTTATTCAGCAAGCCAACAAATGGAATTTTATGCCTTCTCTTTCCTATCATTACATAAATCTCTCTGCCAGGTTTCTTAGAAATTACTTAGGGTTACTTATAAGTAAAATTCAGCTCTTTTAATACAACTAGAAACACAAAACTGAATGCAGTTTGAACACAGAAATCTTTTAAAAAACTGTCCTAGAGCAGCTGCACAGCAGCATTGGCCTTTTCTTCTTCTTTCCCTCCCCTCAAAGTGTCAAAGCCCTGAACAGCCCCAATTAGCCATGTTGGTAGCACCTTCGAGGCAAAGCTTAAAGCCTTTTTACTTCTGACTCCTCGACTCCCAGTCTCAGATTTCTTGCTTTAGGGGATGTTCCATTCCTATAGAAACACCTTCCCACAAGTTACTAGGTCTATTTTCTCCATTTCTTGCTGCCCCTGTCAGCACTACTTAACATCAGCCTAGGGAAACCACTGCTGCTTTGCTGAAGCATGAAAGCTGCACAGATGTTTAAATGGCCAGAGTTCCTGTGAGCATCACGCTGAAAATGAGCCGGTAAGTCAGTCCTGCAGTGCTTCCAAACCCTATTTTGTGATGCTATATAATGTATAATCACCAAAACAACCTTCTCATCTACTAACAAACAAAAGACAATATATCTTGCCTCCACGGGCAGAATATTTCAAACTCTGGTTAAACGTTAAGACTATTTTGCAGTTCTCCTTATGCAGTAAGTTGTTAGAAATTTGCTATTTAGCAAGCACACAGAATCAGGCAGTCACGAGGGGAACAGTTGTGTATTGGTACCATATTCACAATGCTAAGAAGAATAAAATCATTTTTATCAAACTTTGGGTAATAAACATACTTAGTTAGGTTGTGTTTTTCAGGTTAATTACAGGAGAAACTGTGAAGCATAACTTACCCCAGCAATCTCAGTGACTATCTTCTCTGTGATCTCTTTACCGCCCATCAGGCGAGTTGCACTTTGAAGAAAAGTAATTGCTTTTCTTAAGTCTCCTTCTGACACTTTAACAAGGTAAGATACTGCCTGAGAAACAACACAGAAAAAATAACTTATACCTCTGTTGTTAATTAAAAGCCAGTAGTTTTTCAGTAAATTGATTTTAAGATATCAAGTAATGCCTGAAGCTGTCTGTGATGAATCTGCTTCAACACACAAGCTGACAAAGCAAGCGCTCTATTAATAAAAATATTACCACAAGCCTAACGCAGATGGCAGCGTTTCACGTTACAAACGCATCCCCAAGCACTCCTCAAGTTACTTGTTCAAAGCTGAAATGAGGGTTAGGACAGCAGCCCACAACTGTGGTGTGATCCACTGCTTATCCTGGATTGCAGAAACTTCTGTTACTTACACAGCTTTTAACTAATTCTCTGAAGTAAGAGGCAGCAAATTTAATTTGCTCTTTGAAAAAAAGAGGCAATAGATACATGAGATGCATAGTTATATTCTGTGGATTAAACTCCTCTGATCTGTCAGCACTTCCTTGTATATGCTGAAGTACAGTTCCAACCTTTCTTTTGTGTTTAAATGATACAAGGGAACAAAAGCACCTTGTGGAGTATCTGCTTTACCTTTACTCATCTTTGCATCTTTAAAACCTCATGAAAAATACAAAGCTTGAGTGGTTTGAAAGGTAACACAGGAAATATGCATACTGAATATATTCTTAATTATATAATATTTGCACTGTAAGCAGTGCAAATGTGTGTTGAAAACGTCAGAATAAACGATGGTTTAATGTGAGCATACAACTATGCTCACAACGAAAAGCCCTGGGATTTTATGATCATTTGCTCTGTTGGACATTTCCCTGGTTTTAGGAAGTGTATGAAAATTCTACCCGATCTGTTGATGAGAATAACACTGAAATTAGTTTATATACTATATTGAGCACAACTGAGCAGCCTGGAAAATTGGTGCTGATTAACCTCCTTTCACTGCAATACAATTATGCACTGGATTAAGCAATAAAACTATACAGCAACTATGAAGTTACCTCACCACTGATTTTCACATGTTCTTTTTCAGCAACATCCAATACCCTCTGCTGCTGGATTTTGTCTGACAAAGGTTTGAAGCGGAATTTGGAACATCGAGATGTTAATGGTTCAATTATTCTGAGGGGGGAAAAAAAAGGTCTTGGCAAATGACATTATGAGTCACAATCAAACAGATGAAGTTATCAGAGCAGATCTTGTAATACTCGCATAGTTTCAGCTCTATTAAGTGAGAGATATGAAAAGTAGGTCTCAGTCTCATAGGAGAAAAAAACAAAAGTACTGAACAGAAAGTGCAACAGGCCTAAGAAAGCAAAAAAAAAAAAAAAAAAATCCACACAAACCTGCTGATGTAGTTACAAATGAGGCAAAACCGTGTTGTTTTAGATTCTTTTTCCATTGTGCGCCTTAAGGCTGCCTGGGCTGCTGAAGTCATTGAGTCCGCTTCATCCAGAATGACAATTTTAAATGGGGGACAAACTTTACCACTGGAGAGAAAAAAGAAATATAATATAAACACTGCTAAAGTTCTCTAAAACTCTTATTCATGCTTTAAGTTACTTCATTTAATAGCTCATATAGTGTTCTCTTTCACAGCCTTGATTCCTAGAAATTTAAGCAGCACTGCAGCAGACTACTGTCAGCACACAAATTTAGAACTTTTCCTGACACAGTTTCTTCCTATTTCATTCCACAGTCTGATCCTTTACCAGGACCTTGTTAATGCTTTATTAGTATTGTATAATTAATTTAAATAAAAACAACCACATGCAAGGTCCTAGGGAAGAAAGCCCATCAAGCAGGGTCAGCTTTGACCCAGTGCTTACTCTGCCCGGGTTCCAGATGCAGTTAGCTGGGCAAAAGCCTTCACCTTCTCCCGAATCACTTGGATTCCACGCTCATCAGAAGCATTTAGCTCAAGGACTCTTTGCCGGAATAATTCAGGCCTGCAAATTGTTCATTACAATATATTAACTGTTAACTTCTATGATACATTACAAAGTAAAATAACAATCTGTCTGGACTTCCCTAATGGCAGGTATTTTAGCTAAAAAATATTCTTTATTAAAAATCAGTTATGTTGGAAATCATTAAATGTTAGACATGAATTTCCATTAGCTGTTTTTAGAGTTGCCTCTTAGGCCACAGGAAACAGTGAATTGCACTATTTCACAGTATTTGCAGTGCTCTGCAGCTGCAATAATGCTATGAAGCATACATGTAGAAAACACAACACAGGCAGTATTTAGCAGCAGAGCACTAGATAGTAGCACCTCCAAGAAAAAAACAGATATATAGTTGAAAATAAGGGATCTAAAAATCTGAGAATTCACATGGATGCACAGTGGAGTTGCCCTCTCCTAAAAAAAACATCACTAGCCAAATATTAAAGACAAGGGGAAAAAAAACAAAGTTCCAAAGTCAACATTAGATTTGTCCAAAAGACCAAGCCAGCTTCTTACCCATTTTCTGCTCACAGGGCAGTGCGAGTTCATCAGTCAAGAATTCCCAAATATACCAAGAATTTATAGCAACTATAAAACTTGCTTCAACCCCCAATTTTACTTTCAGGCACAACTAAATGCTACAGAGTGGGAAGGGTAAGATTCAATCTTCCCATGAAGTGCTTTAAGATATGTGTATACCAAGAATTTACTGAAGATACCATTAAAATTAGAATTCCTTTGTAAAGTTCAGTAAGGCAAATATAATCCATTTATTTTCATACTCTTTTCTCATACAAACATATAGCTGAAAGTACATAGGGTTACATGGCTGCTAGTCTCAAGCAAGTGTTATGAATCTGTATTAGTTACAGACTCGTGACGGGACAACATGGAAAGAAATATGTTACAAATGAACAAGAACATGAATCTCTTCCTAAAAAAACCCAAAAGCTTTCAATGGACATGAGTTTCCAGAAGCCAAGTAAAAACAAGTGAGAGCCAGCCACCCTATGCCACTTGAGTGGCAGGCATTTGATGCAAACTTATACCAGAGCTGCTGGATTCCAGCTTACCCAAAGAGTTCTCTAGCTGCTGCTAAAATCGTGGAAGTCTTTCCAGTTCCAGGTGGGCCATAAAACAACAGATTAGGGAGCTGAAAGAGCAAGACAGAGTTTGAAAATAAATGAAGTCTTTAGCAAAATCAAAAGAGAGAGACAGACAGACAGAGACATACAGACACACACACACACAAGGCTGATAATCCTAGAAACATGGCTAACGTGGCTGATCCAGAAGCTATAAAGTTTTAAATAGCTGTGGCTTAAAAATAGAAATTCCCAAACCAGCATCTAAGCAATGTTACAAGACCGATGTGCCAGGATAGATTAGGTGCAAGCACCTCTTCTTCTCCAACTGGCTGCGAATGGTTCCTTACCAATTAATTCAACTACACAGAAGAAGTATAGCTGAAATGAATTATAGAAGTTCTTTGGGGTTCCATTCCCTCTGGTCCCCTAAACTCAAACAAATCAACTATTTAAACTTTGTAAAATCCTCTTGAAAAGAATATTTTCAGAGTGAAACAGTCTCATGCTAGTCAAAAATCAGGATTAATAATAATGTCCATAGAACAAAAATCTTTCCAGATTTAAGAAGCTTCCAACTACACTTTTCTAGGCAGATTCTCAACTGCATCACAACAGGTGATGATTTTACAATAATAAGAGCTGGAAACAATAGAAACATTATGCTCTTTGCAGTAAATTACTAGAAAAAAACTTTTTTTTTTTTAAATAAAGTACTACTGAAACGGGATGACTCTGAACTTAGAGCACTGGTAATTCATAACCCCTGGCCGCAGGTTCTTCCTCGAGGTTCTGCTAGAGGGCGGCTGCCATCACTGCACTCACATCAGCACCTTCCAAGGACTTCTTGAGCACAGCAACCACCTCATCCTGGAAAGCGACTTCATCCACAGATTTGGGGCGACTAAATGAGAAGACATTAAATGCAAGCCGTTATTTACGAAAGCTTCAGCAAACCAGGAAACTGAGGAAGGCGACGCTTCCCCTTCAGGTGGCACTGGGCCCTGAACACTTACAACAAACCAGATCTGTGTTTGGGGCCAAAAACGCAATGGAGGAAATTTGCCTTCAGTCTTTTTATTTTATTTTTCCCGGGAAAGCGTTTACTCGCTTCCCTCGCACACAGCCGCCCCGCCCCGCCGCCCGCCCCGAGCAGCCCTTACTATTTCTCCACCCAGGGCACGGGCCTGGGCCGCCGGGCCTCGCCGCCGCTGCCCGCCGCGCCCCGCTCCTTGGCGGCGGGCGGCTTGGTGTTCAGGGCGGCCGGGCCCTTCAGGAAGGCCTGCATGGCGGCGGCCGTTGGCCGTTAACCGTTGGCGTTACGTCACTGCGCGCGCCCGCCGCTTTCCCGCCACGGGGCGCGGATCGCGCACCCCAACCCCGCGGCCCGTTCCCGCCACCGCGCGCCGGGAGGGGGCGGAGCTGCTTCCGCCATTCGCGCCAATCACAGAGAGGCAATGATGAAGCTCCTCCCACCTCCCCGGTCCCGCCCTATGACGTAACGCCCTCCAGGCGGGCGCAGCCAGTCGCCCACCAGCGGTCGTGCGCATGCGCTGGAGGGGGGGGGGCACAGCTCGCGCGTGCTGCGTGTGGCGTCACGTCCGCCACGCCCGTGCGGGTGTCATGGCCACGCCGCCCTGACGGGGAGGGGAGTGGTCACGTCGCCTCCCGCCCCGCGGCGATGACCGGGGACGGGGAAAACGTGTGAATGATGCGGGATGTGGTGGGACGGCGCCTCTGAAGGACACAAATGTGCCCCAAGGCGGTTGCCCGCCGCTCTGCGCGTGCCCCTGCGTGCTGCGGTGGCCGCGTCCCCTCCGTGGACACGCAGGGATGGATCAGGGCCCTTCTGGGGGCAGCAGCTGCCTCTCGTGCAGCTCCAGAGCCGTCCCCGTCAGCCCGGGGCTCCCCGGAGCAGGGCCTGAGCAGGGAAAGGGGATGGGGAGAGGGTCTCCATGGCAACAGGCTGGGAAAGGAGGATGCGGAAAAGAACCGAGACTGGAAGTGCCTCCTGCTGGCCATGGCACTTCTCGTCTGGGATATTGGGAAGCTTTTCCTTCTCATCTGGCATTCTGCTACTGAATCATGAAGTGCAGATGACAGCTGGGCTGGCAGGAAGTGCCCGTCCACATAGGTGCAGAAGTTGCCCAGTTCTGGATGAAAATCAAATGCTGTTTTTTTTTCCCACTATGATTATATCTGGTGTTTTCAAGTCTTGTCAACTTGGAACAGCTTCTCTGCTGAAACTGAATCTTCACTGTATTTTTGAAACTGTTACATTTTCTGCTCTCCCTGCCTGCTAGGGCCACCTCATGTTCATTGCATTTGAATGTTTTATCATCAACATCTGAGCCGCAGGTTCAGGTCACCAAAGGGACTTGCTTTCCGTTGTATTAGCGTAACTTTCATAACAGAACTTTCTGCCTTGTTACATGAAGAAAAGGAAAAAAAAAATACAGAAACCGGCAAACCCAAACTGCCCTGTCTCAGCCTCAGAGTGAGACTGAAATTGATTCTTGCTGCCTTCAGCGGTCATAGTCCAACATACAAAACTCCGCTATGATGCTGTTCCTTGTCTGTCCCCAGGGTTTCCCACAGCAAAGGTGTTTTCACCAGCCCTGTCAGTGCCCCCGAATTTGGGGTCCTTTGAAACTGCCTCTGTCTAATGCACCAAAAGGCCAACTCAGCTTTAAAATGCCAAGTATTTGGTGTAGGCCGGGTTTGTTCCTCAGAGGACTATGACATAACTGACAGTGTCCATACAAAAGCAAAATAGCTATTAGAAAATAAATAAATAAAAAATATGTTTATTCCTTTTGAGATGACAGACATGTTTTGGCTACGCTGTTCCAAGCAGTATAGAAGTAAAAATATTTGAAATCTGGAGTGATAGTCCTTTACTGCAGGACTGCAGGAAGGCAAATAGTGCCCTGGGTGCCTTCTTTGTAGGTGCACATCGAAGAAGGATCTGCCTCATTTGCCAGTTTCTTCTGCTAATGGAAATGATATCAGAATGAAATATATGGAATATATATCAGAGTATGATAACAGAGTAAGCGGGATATCAAAGAAGGTGGATGTCATCAAAGGAAATGGGGAGAGGGATTTCCAAGCTTTTCTCAGCTTTTCCGTCAGCCTCCCTTTATTTGCCATAAAGGCATCCTCAGGTGCGCTCCAAGTGTCAGAAGGACAGTGATCATTTTCTAGAAGAGGATTTTCCTGAAAACTAAGAAGTGGGTGATCCTATAGAAGTTATGAAGGGCATGGAAAGTGGAGATTACACAGTGAAGAAGGTAGGTTAGGTTTAATGGCTGCATCCCATTGTGGTCTTTAATAGACTTTCAGTTGCCTGAATGGTTATTAGTCATATAGGAAAGGGGTACATATTTACATATGATGAAAAAGAAGGAGAGATTACATTAATATAAATACAGTTATTGACATGGCAGTGTCCCCTTAAATATGGGCAGGCTCTTACAAGAATACATTGAGAAAGTTTCACAAATATTTTCCAATAATAGTGACAGCCTCGGCTCATCTGTGAGTCGAGGTCAATTTGAAATCATCTCCCAGGATTTTAGGCTGTAGCAATTTGCAAGCTCTTCTTGTCTGCAGCGTGCAAGCTGCTGTTTATTAAAATGCATGCGATGCTTTGGCCGCAGCTGTTTGCTTCAAGCTCTAATAAATGGCTGCTAATTTGTCAGGCTGTCACTCCATGCAGGAAAGGGATTCTGCTGCCTGTCGCCTGTCACTTCAGGAGCGGAGTCCTGGTGTTTGTACAGCCCTGGCCCTGCGCTCGGGTGAGAGCCCGGCTCTTGCCTCCAGTGTAAGCCATGGTGCTCTGTACCTGAGCCCTATGGATCAGAGAGGGCATTATCCTGCAGAGAGGAAATGGGTGCCTGGTGGCAGCGAGAGCGCTGGCTCTCACCACAACACCCATCCCTGGAGGTTGTTGCCATGGCAGTGACAGGCGAAGCTGCGTCTGTATCGCGGAGCCTTCCCTTAGCGACAGGCATGTGGCCTTCCCTGCTCCCTGGCTCCAAAGGCTCCCTGGGACCCGGCCCCTGTTCTCCTGCTCTCAGCCGGAGTCTGGACCTGTGGATCCCCAGTGCCTCTCCATTGGGTTGGACTTGGTGCGGTCCCGTGGCCCTTGGGTTTGGGAATTCATCATAGCGACCGACTGCACGAACAGGCAGCCCCATTTAGGGCCAGATACCAGTGAATCTCCGCAGCATGATGAGATTGCTCTGTGGATAGTGAACCTTGTGAAACACGGCTGTGCCCTTCCTTCCAAAATCACCCACATTTCCCCCTTTTGTTCCTTAAAACTCACATCAAATGACAGCACCCCCAAGTTGCGATCAGATCTCGTTCCTCCCTCCCAGCAGCAGCGGGACAAGGAGCAGTCCTTGCAGTGCTGCTTGCACAGGGGCTGCGGGACCCTCTGCTCCGTACATGTCACCATGTCACATGTCACCACCCAGCCTGGGCAGCCCCAGCACATAACGGGCCAGCCCTCTGCATCCTTTCCCCTTTGGGGCTCTGTTTGCCTTGCTAATTATCAGGGAACCTGTGAGGTCAGAAGTTCCTGAAGGGGTGGCAGACAACCGGAATGCAGGTTAACACGGCAAGAACAAATAGTAGGAGAAGAAGGATCTTAAAATAGCAAGCGTGCAAGCTTCTGCAGTTAGGATGCTGAATAACAATGTTAGAATAAGAGCATACGGTCTTAAAATAACTGAGAATGATTTTAGCTAGAAATTAGACAAAGGTTCCTAGCGATTCCTGGTATTTTTGAACAGCCTTGCTGTAGGAGTGGTGAGAGCAAACCAGCTACAGGGCTCTTCAGTGGCGTTTAATTCATTCATGAATGGGATTTTACAGCGTGCCTGCCTGCAGAGAAGAGTGTCTATTAGATGTCTGGGGACACGGTGGCTTTTCTCGTGCGCTGTTCTTGCCTCTGCCTCCACTCTGTGACCCTGCGAGGGGAAAATAAGAGGTCTGGGATCTTTCGGATCCCCGCAGAGGTCACGTCGGGGTGACAGCCTCTTTCCTGGCAATGGCATCTTCTCCACTTGAGGAAATCCTTTCCATGTCAGTCAAGGTCATCATGGACGTTAGTCAAGGTCGTTATGGTTTGAACTCTTCCCAAACGTGCTCTGCTAGAGAGAGGATCTCAGAGCAAGCGGCTTCGCTAGGGTTATGCTGGCAGGTGGGTGGCTGTCTCGAGTCATCCTCGTCATTCTCACTTGTTTTCAAAGACTTGCTGTTAAACTAAGTCAACAAAAATACACAGGAGGCCTCTCAGTGCATTTCGTCAGTCATCCAAAAATGAGGACAACACCGCAGTTACTCAAACTACCTTGTAGGTCACCCAGTTCCTTACAAGGTTTGGCCATCACAGAGGTACACAAGACCTTTAATAACACTGGGGCTTCCTATCTGACCGTGCTCTAAGATCTGATGTGCCTACAGGATATTTGACAGCTCAAGCTGTGATCATACATGATCTGAAAAGATGGAGCCAAGAACAACCTTGTGGAGGGGTGGAGAAATCTGGAATTAGAGCTGAATCCTTTCTGCTGGACTGGGTCAAATCTTGTGGGCAGCTGCACCATATTTTATTTTATGCCTTAGCTTTTAGGTCTGCAATAAATTTGCCCTCAGCTTCCTGAAACACCTTGTGTATTTTCAGCAGGCTTAAAAGCAGGGAGAGGCAAAGGCCGCCCGAGGCTCCGCAGCCAGGATGACCACAGACCTGTCCTGCTGCCGTGTGCTCTGCTCTGCCAACAGGCTGCCCAGGGAGGCTGTGGAGGCTCCTTCTCTGGAGGTCTCCCAAACCCGCCTGGATGCCGCCCTGTGCTCTGGGTGTCCCTGCTGGAGCAGGGGGTTGGAGTGGATGATCTCTGGAGGTCCCTTCCAACCTCATTCTGGGCCCAGCAGCCAGTTCTTGCCCCATGCATCAGCAGCGGGTCCCGGCTGTGCCCTGGTGCTGGAGGCCTCTGCTCCCTCCGGGCCCAGGTTGCCTCCCTGATGCTGCCCGTCCCGCTGCCCCGCGGCACAGCCGGCTCTGCGGCCACCGCAGCGGGAGGGAGAGACTGCCCGGCTCCAGGGCTCACGTGCTCGCTGTGCTGGTGCACGGGGCTGCTGGCGACGCTCCTGTGGGCTCAGACACATCAGCATCCCCACGTGGGGACGAGAGAAGTGGGGGCGACGAAGCCCCTGGCCACAACACCCCTAAAAGCCCCCGGTTTGCAGCAGCCTCCCCTTCCGACACAGGTTGCCTGGAGTGTCCTGGGACACACTGGGGGCTCCCCGGGGACATCCCAGGGGGCGGCTGC